ATACTGGTGAGGGTGTTATGAGAGGTTTCCCCTCATTGGCGAGGGTGCTACTCACCAAGGGTACCAGAGATGATGTCCATCTTGTGCATGACTCTGTCTCTGTCCCCGATCCCTCCTCCTCTGGGCCCATACAAGCCCACAGCATGAACTTCATCCACAAATGTAATTGCACCAAACTTGTGGGCAATGTCACACATCTCTTCTAGTGGGCACACAGCCCCTGTAGAGAGCACAGCGTCCAATAGACTATTTAAGATTACATATCATAAAAATTAAACTGAAAATAAATCTATATATCTATGCTTGCTTTGTGTTTAATTGTTACATTTCAGTGCTTTCATATATACAGTAACAGTAATCCTTTAGTGTTTGTCCTCATTTTCCAACAAACATTTTACTAGAACAAATAAATTAGACAATTTCATTAGGGGCTGTGTACTTACCATCCATTGAATGCACTGTCTCAAAGGCAACAATCTTTGGAGTGGAAGAGTCAGATTTCTCAAGCAGCTCTTGTAGGTGGCTGACGTCATTGTGACGAAAGATAAACTTCTTGACTCCACTGTTTCTTATACCCTGGATCATTGAGGCATGGTTGCCAGCGTCAGAGTAGATTTCACAACCTAGAGGAGGAAACAAATGGAAGAAATGTTTACTCTTCAATTCCCTAATACTGATTTAAATCTGCGATTGATTACATTACAATTTTGAATCAAGGCAAAGTCATGGAACTTTTGGGCACATGCTGTATTATTTACAAGCATGAGTGTACGTACCTGGTAGCATTTTTGCCAGAGTAAACAAAGTGGAGTCATTGGCTACAAAGCAGGAAGTGAACAGCAGGGCAGCATCCTTGCCGTGCAGCTCAGCTAGCTCATATTCAAGTTCCACGTGGAATTTGCTTGTCCCTGAAATGTTTCGCGTGCCTCCTGCACCAGCACCATGCTTTTGCAAAGTCTCCCTTAAAAAGAAAAAAAAGCGTTTACTATCTTATACTACCTTATTGTCGTATTTCATCAGGGCTTAATCAGTAATCATCGCCATCCTCTTATGATTTCTAATCAGGGTCACTGACTCACATGGTAGCCTGGATGACTTTAGGGTGATGGCTCATGCCAAGATAGTCATTGCTGCACCACACAGACACGTCTCTCTTTGCATGGAAAGAGTAATCGTCTGCCATGGGGAACGAGAAGGCACACCTGTTCACGGTCTTAAAAATCCTGTATGTGTGATCTGTCTTCTTGCTTTCAATCTTCTTTTCAAAAAAACTGTCATACTGGAAGCTGGCAGCTGATGGAGGAAAAATGGGAGGAGGGTTTAAAAAATAAAATAAAAAGTAAATTAACTCTTTGAGAATTATTGTTCATCAAGAAGAATTTGTCTTTCTTACCCTCAGGCAGATGATCTTTTAGCAGGTGAGACACTTTGGAAGATATGGGTTTAAAAAGGTCTCTTGGCGCCCCGGTGTTGGCTTTGTCTGCCTTAATGAGATCCACAACATCTGTTTTCCCTATTTAATATTCACAGCATTAATGATCTCTAAATCAATGCATAACAGCAATTTGCTATGGACTTTAAATGTCACTAGGCTGTGTGCTTCAAAACACTGATACTTCACATTTTACAGAACACGTTTACCTGTGCGAAAAGAGTGCATCTCCTGGACGTCCTCTTGCAGCTCCATGCTGGCCTCTCTTACTACCCTAATGTTTTTCTGCACCATTTCTGCAGCCAGGAAAGGGCATTTAGAGCCTACAGCCTGACAAGCAGGTGACATGACGTAGCCGGGGGACAACTTGAATTTGTGCTTTTGATCTACAGCACAGAACACAGTACATTTCTAAATTATTATCAGTCTACAACATAATAAATAAATATTGTTTGTATTTAAATCACCATTAATTGTACTGATCTGCATTGCAATTTTCACCTTACAACTGACCATCATTTGTTGGAGTTTGTTTGGACGCAGAAGCTGATGAGGACAGAGCTCTGGCTACAGGTCTGGAGACCAGGTACATCATCACGGGGCACTTGTGGGTAAATCTCACCAGTGAGGACTTCCCAGACAGCTGCAGGCAAACACTGGGCAAGACAGTGAGGAATGGACACCGGCGTATCACTGCGTCCATATTAGAGCCTCTTGACCTGAATGAGAAGGAGAAAAGGGGGACCATTAAAAATGTGTCTAGATAGTTTTCTGTAGAGTTCCATTACATATAGTCCATAAGGGTCAGATATTGGAATGCAACCTGCTCCTTACAACTTTGGACTAACATTTTAAATAGTAAATAAAGATAAATAGCATGGGCAGTATGAGAAATATTTCTGAAATTTTACTGAAAAATAAAAAATCCAGATAAAGGTAACGTCTCAAAAATGTAAAAATTATTTGGGTAACATTTAAGAATATTTTCAATCAAAACTGAACTCATAAAACGCTGCCTTTATCGACCTTTCTCTCAGTTGTCTCTTTCTATACCATCTTTCTTTTTTTACCTGAACACGTCCCAGTTCACCTTGACGCAACAGATGAAAAATGTGTTGCGGAACATTACAAATTCCACATTAATCTATGACCAGTGAGACCAGAGAGGATGTTTACTCTTTTCTCTTTTACTCTGCTCTGTAGTCAGCTGTCCTTGACAAGGGGGAGAGGGAAGGCCTCTCAAGGACCTGTGTTGCTACTAAAGCTGTACGGACTTACCTAAGACAGAGGAGAAGAGCCATCTGGCTGCAGTTTAGACAAAACAGACTGTGACAGACTGAACCACCATTCCATATGTATATATATATGTATACATGGACAAAAGTACTGGGACACCTACACATTACTTTTATGACATCCCATTCTGAATCCCTAGGCTTTAATATGGAGTTGGTCCTACCTTTGCGCCATAATAGCTTCCACTATTCTGGGAAGACTTTGTACAAGATTTTATAGTTTGTCAGTAGGAATGTTTGCCCGTTCATCCAGAAACGTATTTGTGAGATCAGACACTGATGCTGGACGAGAGGGTCTGGCACAATCTCTGTTCTAGTTAATCCCAAAGGTGTTTGATAGGGTTGAGGTCAGGGCTCTGTCCGCCCAGTCAAGTTCTTCCACACCAAACTGGGAAAAACATTTCTTTATGGAGCTGACTTTGTGTACGAGGACATCGTCATATTGAAACAGGAAAAGGCCAAACACAAACTGTTGGAAGAACTATTGTCTAAAAATGTATGCTACAGCATTAAGGTTTCCCTTAACAAAGAACACACCATGAAAAAAACTGCCCCTCTAAAAGGTATTGGGACAGGGGTGTCCCAGTACTTTTGTCCATATAGTGTGTACACTATTTATACTCAAAACAGGGGTTGGGGGTCTGTTGCTGATTATAAGATCCACAAAATCAAACACGGTGCTATATTTTCTCTTTTTTGAATGGTCTGTTACCAACTGGTGAATACTTTCTTTCTAAAAATTTACAGCTTTGGAATAACTGACCTTGCCTCAGAAATGACTGAGAATACAACTGAAAGCACGACAGATCGAACATCTAAATTGTAAACCTACATTAACTGTACACAGCTTTCTATTACCATGCATTGTATTTTACCCATTTTCTGAGCATGTTTCATTAACTATTATCACAGCATCCACAGTCTGATTGAAACAGGTTAATAAAGCTGAAAACTGGTATTGACAGACATAAATATTCATACAATGCAAAAAACAACAACAAAAAAAAACTTACCTTCAACCAGCCGGATATGAGACTGAATCCCTGCCATACCTCATAACCCACCTGGTTTATTCTTTGTAATTAAATTGGTGTTGTCTTGAGTTCCTCAGTAGATACAATTCTTCTTGCACATTGAAGCAACTTCAGCTGAGGAAATTACAACACTTAGGTCACTGCGGTGAGGTAGCAGGAGTATGTTGCGCAAGAATAGCCACGCCCACCACCTACCAAGATCGTCTATTCCAAACAGGAAGCACTCTATTATTTCTATAAACTAAACACACACACTGCTTTTAGAACATGTTTTCCTATGTGAAATAACGACGACATGTTGGTTTGATTTAACCTTTCATTTCTTCAATATTATCAAAGTTGTTCACCCCCTTAGCCCTAAAGATAGATTATAAATTACAATATGAGCACCATTACTGGAAATGTCCTTACTGCTGTAGGCCCACTGGGAAGTGGTAGTAATTAACTAAATAGGCCTACATGTACTGTTTTTAAATAAAATGTTGAGGTACTGCTCAAACCTTGCTACTTTGTGTATCCACTCTACTAAATTTCAGGGGCAAATATTGGACTTTTTACTCCACCACATTTCACAGCTATTATTACTAGCTATATATTTGAGATTCGAACAAAAAAACATAAGCTACACAAACATACATGAATCTGTTAAAATAAACTCAAGCTACATGCATCAAAAATTCATTATACTGACATGGGCCATATTTATTTTGTTGAGGACAAGAGACTGAAAAAGATTTTTCTTAATTTTACTCATGCATATTTGCTGAAAAGAATATTTTATCATCATTGTTTTGAGTGTTCTACCTCAGATTTGTTAAGTGATCCACTGTTTGGCATCAAGTGCTATAAAGACCATAAAGAATAGTTTAAAACCACAATTAACCATCTGGTTTCTTCAACTTTCAGGAACAAAATCATTAAACTAGCAAGAATGATTTGACATTTATCGTTATAATTATTGATACTGAATATGTCATTTTTCATATCTCCACCTGCTGGAGAGTTGATTGTATAAACCTCAGCAGCGTGAGCAGTTACATGTTGTGCATTAATAAATGAATACTCCAAAATCAAACCACTAAATCATCATCCTCAGGTGCTCATTTATAGCCTTTGCACCAGCATACATAGTGGTATGCAAGACAAGGCTAAAACAATTGTAGAATAATTAACTCCATTAAAGAAACAGCAGGTCCAAATATCTTGGGAATATAAACAAGACCAACAAGAATAAAAACATGCCATTGGAATTACAGGGATTTAATGATAGGATGAGGTCATTTCTGAAATACAATTAGAAAACATAAAAAGGCACATATGCCAACATTACAACTGTCTGACAAAGTCTGGTAGGACAGCTACATGGAAGATCTTTCTTTAGTTTTGCAACCAGCTTTAGCAGCTGTTGCATTTGTTTTCCCACTAAGTGGCAGCATTGCGCTCAAACCCAGCCCCCGTAGCGCAGCTTATTGGGCAGGTAGATGTTGGTGAGGAAATCAGGAGCAATGGCTGCCAGGGACTGTATTTCAGCCTTGACCTTACTCTGCTGCATCAGTTCCATCTACAACAAGAGCAAATACGCAATTCTGGGGAAAGCTGTGCAAAAAAGCATAAATCATCAGGTGTTCTATCTCTAACAACTACTTCACTGCAACGTGGCTGGTGTATCCTCAGTACCAGCCAGCTAAGAGTCCTCTCACACACATTTATTTCTATGACATGTGTCACATGAGCAAAAATCTTAAAACTGTGTAAGCGTCTGAGGAAGAACACTTTTTCCTTTGAAAGAGGGACAGGGCGCTTCAGACCAACATTTTCCCAAGAAGGAGCTGAGTACAGTAGTGTTTGGGATGTGTGATAGGGACTAAAGGACATTATGGTTAAGTAGTTTTGTATACAGCACTTTCTTTTAACTGATATGTCAAATTTGTTACTCAAAATCACATGGTAAAACTCAAATTCATCTAATTGAGTCAAAGGTTTTGGGTGGTTTTCAAGATCAATTTAACATGAATTAAAAAAGTATTTGTTCCCGGGGACATGATATATTAATTTAGACATGAGGACTGACAAATATTTAAGGAACACTCCAGGAAAACTCTATGGGGTTAAAAAGAAGCAATAATAAGGATGTATCCAGCCGTACAACAATGTTACTTGTAGTGATACATTTCAGATACTTTCCTTCATCGCACTTTATCTAACTCGCAAAATTCTATGCAAACCTCCATCCTGCACTCCACCTTAAAGCACTTTCCTCTGTCCCCTCTCTTCTCTCACCTCTTTCTGCCAATCGGGTTGACTGGCTAAGTATGGCCTTTTGAGGAGGCTGTCAAGTTTGCTTTTATCTCTCTTGGTGAGGGGGATCAGGGCAGCATCAGGAACCCGCAACCTTAAGAATGAAAACACTAAATAAATTTCCTAAAAGTGACAGCCCGTAGGCAGTTCTGTTGATGAATGTCTTCCCTACAGTACATTTCCCATTCTCAATAGACTCACATTGCTACTATTATGTATGTTTAGGGGCAAACATAAGAGGAATTACTGTATAGACTACAATTAAATGTATGTCAAAAAGCCATTTTGGCCTAAATTTGTTCAAGGGGACATATACTTAAAACTCAATATGCTCTCAGATGCAGTTCCTTGAAGGAAAAAAAAAATTTAAAAAAAAGAGGGCGACAGCAACAGAAACCAAAACAAACATCTACATGTCCCCAGAATATAATCCCAATTAGAGGCAGGAGGAGGAAGTAGGAAGTAGCGAATGTTGAGTCCAAACCTCTGGAGGTCAGAGGGGAGGAGGCCTAGCCACATAACGCTGGGGACGGTCAGACTGTGGGCCTCAAACGACATCGCCTGTGGAAAAACCCACGCACGCACAAACAAACATATACACACACACACACACACACACGCCCAGTCACACAAACACGCGCTTCTACACAGAGTATATCTCAAATAAACACACAGATAATCAGCACTGTAGTAACATAATGTGGTTATGCCCAACACATGTTCACAATGAAGTTAATGAACATAAAGATGATTACACAAGCATCACAGAGATCAATAAAGACATTGCCACACAACCACTCAGTATTTTCACCCCATACCATGTCAGTTTAAATATTCTGAGATGCATGCTTGGTCCCTATTTTTCGACTCAAAGAGGGGCATAATTACATATTGCTAACAGAGAGACACTGCACAGGCCACATCGGATAATTTACAGTACGGGAATAACTGGCACGGTGGGACTCACCACTGATCCGTACTTGTAGATACACATGATCTCAATCCCTGGGAAAATCAGGAGAGACACAGACACACCGCAATCACTAGCATACCAGAGCAATTATCCTGCGAGATGTGTAACGAAACTTAGAACAAAGTAAAGCATTACATATGTGTCTCGCCATGCACTGGGAAAAGGGTTAGAGGTATGGAGACTGATGGAAACTGTGCCATCCCGCCTGGACGAGATCACGCCAACGGAAATAATAGCCAGACTAGGCACCATGACGTACTGGACAGGTGCTAACATCTGCTGGCTTAGTGAGACATGCAACCCTACTGTGAGTGTGCGGAGATGAAAAGAGAGTCAAGTGTTGTTAAATGTGTGGAAATATGTCAAGTATGTGCAAGAGGTAAAAAAAAAATAAAAGAGTTTGCACTTGAGATTGATGATGTGTACCATGAGGGTCAGCATCCACCAAAGCGAAGATAGGGATGTGCAGCGTGTCCCAAAGCTTTCTCACCATCAGCCTGCTGTTCACATCTGGCACGCCTTTACCCTGATCCACACAAACACGCCGGTTATGTATACAGAACTCTAATACTGCCCTTAAGGAGAAGAGGCAACATCATCAAATTAATATGATTGAAATTATATTTACAAACACACCACCAAGAAAACAGTGGCACAAAGAAAAGAAAACACACTGTGATTATGATGCAAGGACACAGCTTTGCACAGAAGTCGTCATCCAGTAGTCTCTGAAACGTTGCATCCTTCTCAACTATCAGGACAAATTTTGCAGATGATACAATATCTGTATGTGATCAAGGAAAATAAAGACCCTGCAACCACACAGTGTCCTGCCTACACAGAAAGAAATAAATATAAAATACATTATGACATTCTCAGAAATACAAGAAGGCACGCACGCACACACGCACGCACACACAGTAAGATTGTCAAACAAATTACAAAGGATACTTCTAATGCCACCAATGTTTGATGAAACTGCAACAGCCTGAAACAAAATACAACCACACAAAATGGTTCAACTTGAAAAAGATGTAACTTAAATGCATTACTTTCTGTTTCAAGCTTCGTAGTACTATTGTTGGTTTGGTAGGAAACACAAGGTACCCTGTGGAGTTGCTGACACCTCATGGTGCTGCAGAGCACAGGCGGCATATTGTTTGTATCTCATGGTCTACCAGCACATGGATGTCACACTCGACAGGGGTACATAACGCACATTTCTGCCAAATGCAGATGGTGCTAAGTTGGTGTCAGTAATGTGCCATAAACAGTGATAATGCGGCATGAAAAGAGAAGAAAAAGCCCTCAAGCCCCAACAATGTAGTATCCCAAGTATTAAAAAAGGCTTTAAAATGTTTTTATTAAAAGGTAGGAGTATTCAACATGGGTACAAGCATTTCTTTTGGTGGGAAACTAATATAAATAAAATGCTGAAAACTCCTCAGGATACTTGAAGTCATAGCGGATGTAATGTTTCTCAGTGTAGTAACAAGAGGACTTTTTCAGTCAGTGGGGCAGTTGGTTTAGGTTGTTGATAGAACTTACAGCAGAGCTGGAGTGGCAGTCAATCCTCGTGCCATCTTCCTCCAGATAACACAGGTCACCTGAGATCAGTCCCTTGGATGTGGCTAACTGGTGGCATGAAAATTTCACACACAAAAGTTAAAGCAGCAGTCAGTAACAATTGAACATACAATGCAACACCTTCTGCGTCTCTTTCTGCTGCTCATATCACTCTCATAAGCCCCGCCCACCAATCCCACATGAAGGAGCCCCTTGAAACCTCATCCCGCATAAGGCTCGCTCTCCACAGCGAGAGTCTCGCCAAGACCCCGGCCCCTGTCGCTTCAACACCAAAGCTTTGTGGTCCGGGGCAGGGCACCCCAGGCTTCAGAGGCAGCTGCAGCAATGTATAACATCAGCATAAGAAGTTATTCCCCACTGTTTGTCGTTATGCCTCTACACCATGGTATCGAACACAATGAGCCCGAAGCTCCGTGTGGAGCCAGGACGTGGTCCCACGTGTGTTTTGTACTATACACTGTTGGCAAAGGAGGGATGGGCAGTTTTTTCATTGTTGGCTGTTGTTGAGTAGTAGGAGGAGCCAGAGGAACCTGATTTTTTTTTCACCGATGATCTGTTTAATGTACTATGATATGATACTGTGATATAGTGACAGTTTCAGCAAATTTGCCAAACAGTTTTTTTATTTTTAAAAGTTACCTACTGAACCTTCGCCGCGACCCTGTACGCAGGATAAGCGGTTGACGATGGATAGATGGATGGACCTACTCAACCATTAATGCATGCTGATATTAACACATTTATATGTACACATACTTTTCACACTGCATGTTTGAATTTAACTTTAATTCAATTTCTGATTGATCAGAAGAACCATTTTTTCCCTCAGGTGTTGGATAACATATGAAGCAGAACAAACTGCTTAAAACACCGTAAGTAACAGATTTCATCTGTGGTACCAGAACTACTAACAACAAAACATACCCACAAGGAATTTTACTACAATCCTTTTAATGTCTGAGGTTTGTGTTTTCTGCCGTACAATCACACATGTACAATGTCACATTAACATGGACACACTTACCACATGTAGTGATCTGCGAGGAACTTTTAGCATGGAGGAGATATCATCCACTATACCATCAACAGTTTTTTGGGAACCAAACAGCTGTGTGTTATTGTAATAGATGTCTCTGTGGAAACAAAATGTACATATTCATGAGCAAATTCAGCAATAACCACAGTCACAGAAAAAACCCCTGCCATATACAGAATGTGAATTTTATCCAGCTTTAGTGATCATTTAATTGTCAATTGATAGTCAATTCATAATAAATAACCTTTTTGTGGCATATGAGCTGCTCTGCACAAGTCTGTAGATGACCAAGAGAATCTTGAGGATTCGTGCTTTAAACAGAGAAACAAATAACAAATCTATTATCCCCCCCCTCCCAAACAACACACACGGACTGTTTTATCACATCTTTAAAAAAGACTGGAGCAGAAAAAAACCAAACACATATTCTGTTCTTAATTAAGATATCTATGTGGTAAACTGATCCCTAAAAGCCTCTTTCAACATAGTCTGTCTCTGCCAATTTGTCACCTAAAACTAAGTCTGACTTTTACTGCCATTATGTGCAGTTTATGCATATGTTCACAATGAATATAAATGAAAGCCACATGAAATACAGTACAACTGGAAAGTTTTTTTTTACTAAAAGGAATGTCGGCTGTCAAGAACAGAACCGTTGCATAAGGACATAAATATAAGAACAGAGTTGTGTGTCTTCTCACCAAATTTAGTGACAGACGAAGCACAGTCGCTCCTAATGGAGGTGACAGAACTTCCTGAACTCATCTGAAGCCCGATGGCACTGTCAAAACTTAAGTGGGAAGTAATGAAAGAAAAACGTACAGCAACTCAAGTGGAAAAGATTGTGAGCGCCACATTTACTTTTTTAGCTTTGAAAACCAGCTCCCCCACCTGTTAGCCATCTAAAATTCCCCACACCCTGAGGGCTACCTGTGAGAAGGCCTCCCCCATACTTCACCGTCCTGATTCCTCTTGTGAAACCTCTGGCGCTCAATCTGTGGGATTCTCACATTTGAAGGGGCTGAGCCAGAATGTGCTTTAAGCGGTGGCAAGATTTGAGCTAAACAAGACCAGACAGTCTGCTTTGCTCTGAGCCTAAGGTCTCCGTAGCCCAGTCACATTAAAGCCCTTTGTAAATTTGTGTTTGTGTGTATATGTGTGTGTGCGTGTGTAGGCCAGTACTTTTCAAATCGTTATCACTGTGTCATCTTTTAAGAAGCAGGAAGTTATTTTAACTTCAAGCTCTATGAACCAAAGCTGAAAGTTAAATCCCCCCCCACCACTCAGTTGCCTGTGCAATCAGTAAAACACACCTTACACAAATTCAGACAGAGTTAAATTGTGTATTTCTTCTTTAAGGAAATTAAACAGCAATTTGATCATCTTGTGTGGCCTGAACTACCACGAAAAACCTATGAAGGTATATGTTTATTTATTTCTTTACACAACTCGACTGCTCGTGTTTACCTTTTAACACAGATCCCACACAGTTGGTAGGTTAAATGACTGTAGTGTTCAGGGTAGGGAGAAAATCTTTTCGTGCTACAGCATGTTTATTAAAATCAAGTTACCTGACGTTGGCCCAGCTAGATCTGTTGGGAAGGGCCAGGACAGGGGCCTCGTCTTTGGACAGACTAGTCACTACTCCAAGGATTACGTTTTCAATGCGGGTCAAAATTTCCTTGCTGGAAAATAAGATACAGTGAGGATGACGATATATCAAAAACATGAATAATGAAGCAGTCAGCCAAGTTACCCCCCCCAAAAGACCCAACAGACAGTAATATCTGCTGCACTGCAGTGAATGTTGAAACTGACTGGGAAAATAGCTTAGGAGTTCTGAAATGTTTACATGATACTTTAGCAACATCTATATACATATGGCTATATAGTATATTTTCTGGAAAATATGAGAAACTGTTGATGGATAAAACACTCAGACAACAATGGTCTAATATGTTATGATATGAAAGGGCTAGCTACTGCACCACAGTAACGTTATGGTATTACAAAATCTTTAGCGGTGGACAAATTCATAATGATTCAACAGTGGTGCATTTGTTGTGGTTTTGTCTGTATACAAAACAGCAGTATTTAATCAAATTTTTATTTTGACCAAACTTTATGCTTATATTGTTATATTTGTTGCAATAAAGATTTTTGGGAAACATTGAATAACGTCTCAAGTTTGTCCCATCAACCAACTCTACACAGGTTTATTAGACATATATCGATAATTAACGTTAACTGACTGAGTATGACAACTAATGAGAACAGACTGACAATGTTTTAGCAAGGTAACGTTAGCATAACACTCACTTTCTGTGTTGGCTAGCGCTAGTTTGTGAAGTAACGTTAGGACGTACAGTGAGCTAACGTTAACGTTAATTAGATATCAGCGCTGTGGTAACATAACGTTAATCAGTGCAGTCAGTTATTAACGTTACATTAACGCTACACTGGGAACCACAAATGCTAACGTTAGCTAACTTAACCCACTTTAACATCGCTATAGCTAGCAGAAGGGACAGGTGAGTGTGAACTTACTGGCAGATTTCTGTTTCAACATGCTGGCATTCTGTCATGACTTCGACATTTTGCAACAATTGAGCACGGAACTTGTCGATTTCAGAAAATAGTTCTGCCACACGGGATCCCATCATGTATTAACTACACGTATAAAGAAATGATATACATGATGTTCCCGCGTAAGGATTTAGTGGAAATCTCGCGTGCTTTGCGTAACTGACGGATTGTCTGAATTTCCGACAGGAAGAATTCAGCTTGCTGTAATGTTTTGGAAAATGCTTATTAACTTAACAACAATATGGTTAAATTATTTACTAAGTTAATAGTTTTCTATACATGAAGAAGTGAAACTTGGTAAGTACGTTGTGCCTACTTTTCTGTACAACTACAGTTTAGCCTCAGTTACTTGTACTTTACTGATGTACTCTAATAAGATAATGTACTTAAAAACAATTATTTAATTACTTACTACAAAGTCCGTGCAACATTGACAGGTGTATGCAAGACATTTACTTGTAATGGAGTATTTTTACATTTTGGAATGAAACGGTTACTAGTTTTATGGGATCCAGGATTGTCTGAGATAATAATACAGAATCCAACGTCAGCCCACACCGATAACATATTTTAGTCTTTTTAGCGTTACAAAAACGGCTTCATAAATAGTTTACAATCAGATAGCCCATCATTAAAGCTACATTAACACACATTAATATATACTTTTTATGCGCTTTTTGGTATATTTGTATTGCACCTGGTCATTTATTCAGAGCTCTGACTCAACTTTTGTTGATCATACTGGTCTTTGTTTTCATTTTTATTTCCACGCACACACATCGCCTGCTTTGGTTTATAATATATATTAACAACAATTTTGCAGCTTTGAAGTGTGCTGAACTGTCCCTCCAGGGCTTTTGTCATTGCAACGTGCTCAGCTCCACCCTCTCTCTTTCCCTAGCTCTCACCTGAGCTGCCCGTTCTTTCTCCACGCAGTGACTGAACGTTGTGCGCATGTGATAACAGGCAGAGACCATACCATTATGTTAAAAACAGGCAGGGGCGGTCAGTCAGTTGTCAGTGACTGGCTACCGTGTGCTGTTCTCTGGGGTTAAACTGCATATAGACCACATGACAATATCCAATCAATAACCATGACAGTTTTGAAAATATGATGCATTGTGATAGATTACACTACACCCCTTCATTGTGTTGCTACCTCCAACCTTTTGTTATTTGCTTCTTGTCATTGCGTGCTAAATCTTCACTTCACTGTATTTGTGAGATCAGGTCGCCACAGTTTGAGAATGCAGAAATACCACACTTAATAATCTATGCTAAGTACTGATGTCTTTACAGGTAGATTGCAGTCTGGAAATAACTGCACAACACTGCCAGTCTTCCTCTTCAAGCTAAAGGTCAGTGCACATTTGCCAGCTGCATCCATTAATAAATCCAGGAATGTGTGTGGGCCAGTTAGCGCCCCATTGGTGGCATTGTGGCACTAATGACACCCTTTATGTGAGCTTGCTGCTACTTGTCCAAAGGTGTGTCTACTGTATGTGCGTGTTTCTGTTTGTGTGTGTGGTGTTTCATTGGGGGTAATAGACTGTGGTTAGAGTCCCAGAGAAACCAAATATACATTGTATCTGTCAGCCGTGTGGAAGTGTTTTTTAAATATCATTTTGATGATGGTTATGTGCAACAATAATGCTGGCCAACATGTGTTTATAGGGCTCAGCGACATACTGTAAATGCAGTTCAGTTCATTGTATCAGACAGTTACTGACTAATTACAGCTGTTTTCAGTTCCAAACATTAAAATTACATTAAATAAATATGACACCTCGAGGAAATCCCACATATTTCTTCATCAACAACCCGTCAAATCCATCCAACCTCTTTGTTGCATCATCTTATAGTCAGGTCACTTTATTGTTAAAACTGAGAAATGTGCTTAGATTCTAAAACTATTAGGTCATCCAGAGTCCCCACCTTCAAGAATTGCTGGCAGGCATGCTGTGTGTGTTTGCGGAGGCACTGCAGTCTTTCTTTAACAGTGTGAAGGCCTGGTCAGAGTGTGTGGGAGCCAGGATCTAAAGAGAAGAGGTCTGTGCCCCTGACCTGACCCTGTATATTTCCTAATGTGCAGCTTTACCAAAGGTCCCCCTTTCTCCTGAGTGGCTTTGACAAGTCGCTTCCGTAGTAATGGCTCTTAATTTCTGAGTAATTGCTATCTCTAAGTGATGACGGACAACCCCTCACCCAAGCTGAAAAAAATCTTAACATGTGGAAGACCACAGGTTTTAGGGGTCCTTTTTCTTCTGTTCCTGAAAGGCGGAGACCCCTGCTGTTCCTTTGGCCCAGGAGAGATTTGTGTCGAGTGTGAGGCCCTAACCTGAGGAGACAGAGTGCAACGAGTCATGTGCTTGTCTCGGGATGAGTGTTTGTGCTGGGCAGTAGGTGGGGGACATGGGGGAAGTAGGGGGCTGCAGGGTCAGAGGAAAAAGAACGGGGGCACTCGCTGCAGGTGAGGGGGATTAACTGCAGCTAGAGGCCCAAAGAAACTAAATACAGATCTGTCAACCTAATCCTCACAAATAGAAAACAGAGCTGCCCTCCCTTCACAATCCACATAGTTCAGCACATCCACCTCCTGCTCCTCTGCCCCCCCACTTTCTACCTCAGGCTCTCCTGCTCCTCTGTTTCTCATCAGCTTTTGGCCTGGGTCAGTCTGGCTATGCTGCCTCCTCTCTAATGGCTCCTCAGACCAGCATCCCCTAAAGAGGAGCTGACTGATCACCCACAGCCCTCTCTGATTGACAGAGCAACACAGCCTCACAGAGTGATGAGAGCAAGAGTCAATGGGGCAAGGCCTCTCGCTGCAGAGACAACAATCTAAATCGGAACCTCTGCCTAGAGCTGCATAGAACTGGATAGACCTTTATCAGGCCCTCACACCTCAGTAATGGATGGTGATAAGTATGTGGCTGGGTGAAGAGACCAGCTCAGTGTCAAGCTCGGACTCTGTGCCGATGACACAAGTGACAGAGTGCCTGAGTGATAACATCCTGCAATGGATAAGCCCCACTAAGCCGGGAATTGTGGAAAGCTTAACTAAAACGGTATCTCTGACTGTCAGTGACACCAACGATAACTGATGGGTCTGGCTGAACTGCTGAGAGCTATGAATCAGATCCAAGCTACTCTGGTGTTCTTTAGTGCCATACCCGGCTGCAGACAGAGGCGGGAGTGACAGGACATACCGGATGCAGGCGAAAGTAGGTACTGAGTGATAGCAACTATATAATTGTGCCATCTCTGAATCTTATGTGGACATGTGTTGCTGTCATGAAACTCATTTGGTTTAGTGATGCCAAATTAATAATCGACAATGAGAATGGGATAGTGATTGGATTGCAATTGCCAGTTCCAGTTTGTATTTGCTTTCAAATCGTATCATTTTGTTACAGCTCAGAGTCTAAAGAAAAATGTGTTGATTATTGTATCTCATTTTTCCTTTGCCATCAGTACTGAGCATGAACAAATATCAATTTAGCTAAAACAAGTACTTGAATTTTAGCTTTGAAAAATTAGGTGGTGTGTGACTTTGTGCAACTGTAAAAAAAACCCCAAACTAAATAGATTAGAATTAGAACTTATAAATAAGTGATCCAAAAACGCTTAGATTCAATAATTCAATAATCAAAGCTGTATGATACACCCACCCCCTCTCTTTCTTCTGTCTGTCTCACAGCTGTGTCTCATATGTTCATGAGGCCCCTGGTAGTGTGAGACACCAGAAGGGGAACATTTGCAATTGCTCAGCTCCACCTGGTTATGCTGTTTTAACAGGCCGCTGGTTTGTGCACACACAGCGCACACAGTGGGGTTACGCCAAAAACGTAGACAAGGGCGGACAGGACAGGGAGACGGGGGGGGGGGATGTGCCTTCACCCTCTCCTGTCCTTGCACCCCGACCCCACACTGCTTCATTTGAGGGTCAGTTTACCCTGAAAAAAAGTTTTACCATATCATCTGTGGGTCTGCTTGGTCGGACCCCCCTCCACCAGACCTCATCCGCCTCCACGCATACACAGGCTTTCAAAGGACTGCTGCCTGCGGTTCTCTGAGGCAAGACATGTAATAAATATTAATCTAACCTCTGAGTGTATGCTTTGAGCTCCTAAATCGAGATAACCAGGCATAAGGAAAAAAGCACTAGCTTTTAGTATAGATAAAAAAGAAGAGAATAATATTAAAAGGAGATGAAAAATGTTTTTTATGTGTGTGCTGAAGGGCTATGAAAGAGGTCCCAGGGATGTTTCACTGCACTGCTGTGTGGTCTTCTTTGAAGCTTAGGATCATGCGCCAACCTGATGGAGTGTGGAGATGTGTATTTGCGCAGATTGTCTTAGATCATAGTTGGAAGAGTGTATGTGTCTGCACTGAAAATGCCACAGGCCAAATTGCTAAATTTGAGCTAAATGACATTTAAAATGAAAACTGCCCTAAACAGTGAAACAGGAACAAGCACGTGTTGACCGTAAACTTGATATGTAAAGAACTTGTGAGCTAGCTTGTGAAGTCCTAATAACCCTAGTATCATATAGTCATGGATGTACAGCTGTCCAACCACATTTGTGCCTTTAAATGATTTGTACTAGCCCTGTCTTAAATGTAATGCTATAGGTCTTGACAGTGCGTATCATTGGTTGTCTAAATATGTAAGTGTGTGTATCTTAGACTTAATATATGATAATATCTTAATATTTTAGTACAGCGTGAGATACTTGAAGAAACTGTGTGTATTCTTTTGGCAGCTTTTTTTGCGCAGAAGGTTCAAACTATTTGTTCTGCTTTTCTGCTTTACTTCTCCTTGTCAAAGGCCCCTCAGTGCAGCTCACCCAGACTGGCCTCAGCCTGTGCCCACTGTTTACTGTGACTGTCATCAGGCCTATGGAGGGCCAAACAAAGGGGGGTCTGTTCCTATTGTCCTGCCCAGGATTGTCAGCCCCTCTCTGGGCACAAACTGAGCCAAGGGCTGGGGGTTGTTGGAGGTGCACCGGGGGAGTTTGACCTCACCAACCTTACAGCAAGGGAGAGAGAGCATGAGATGACAATGACAGAGAGGGAAAAGTAAGTGAGAGAGAGAAAGAGTGGAAGATGTATAGTT